TTATTATGTTCTATGGCCGATGTGCCTGGGAAATTAGCTCTGTCCTCTATCTTGACAAAGCGCTAATTCGGATCATTGGTCTGTTTATTATTTATATGTAACCCAATCTGACATCTGAATTGAGTGCCAGACTATCTCCGTTTAAACATGTTGGCGGAATATCAAGATCAGGAAGACAAGTTACATCTTAAATTGACATTAAACGATTTAAATAGAGTAGTTGAATTGCAAGTGATCATGAAATCAAAGCCAAAACAAAAAAAATTGTTCTTCGAATCGTTTAGTCAATTGTTCAAGAAAACTTAAGCATTTAAGGTCGAGAAAGCTCGAGCACACACTCCAAGCTTCCGGTTTTATTTCCTATCAAGTACCCAGCATCCCCTCTCTCCGTTTTCATAGAAACGATTCCCTCTCTTTAGTGTTCTCGCACTGGAGAATTTGTTGGTATTAATCAAGTACGATTTTGAGATCGGTGAATTCTTAGAAGCCTCTTCTGTCAAGTAAAGTAAATGATTTTAATCTTGGCCCTGAACTCCTACGCGCTAGAATGCTCCACCTGTGAGGTCCGAACGACTTCACTTACATTATGACGATTTCATTCTGTTCATTAATGAGATTAGCAATGAACAAGTGCTAGCCGTCATTCAGTTGGACTTTAATGTGCCAAACGTTGTTGGAAAATCAAGGGCAATGAAGTGTAATTCGCACTAACAATTGCAAAATAGGTACAGAGATGGTAGTGGCCTATGAGAATTAATGAAATGTACAAATTTATGTATTAATTCGTATAAAAAATTTAACCATTAAATGTTATTCAACGTAACACAGAATGTTAGTATCGCTTATGGAAAAGATCAATAATTTGTATTATTTCACTTCTCTTGATATTATGCTAACTGAACATGAGGTTAAGTTTTAATCAGGTTTTAGATGGTATGGTTAATTAATAGTTGATATTTTTAAAGTTAGTATTTTAAATCAACAAAATTTAGGCTCCTTACCGGTTTTAAAAGAAGATAACATCTAGCATTTTGAATAAATATTGTGGAAGTACACGACTTTTGTTCTGAAGTATGTTCTCACTTTGAAATCTGCGGCTGAAGGCATGGCCATCGTGAACATCAAATACTACTCTCATAATAGAAATAGAGAGGTAGAACAAGGAGGAGAGCGAGAATAGAACAACTGCAACTAAAATGCTGTAGTAATCGTGTCCTCAGGGGTTACAGGTGAAATCTGAATTATTGGAAAAGAGGTGTATTCAAATCGCTAATCTCTGTTCTCAAACTGTTGAGATTATAACGTCGACTTTATTTTTTTACCAAAACATGTCTAATTAGTGGCATACAAAAATAGCATAGGAAATATTTAGAACATCCTTTCATTCATTCGTGACCTCGTTTAGTCTGTTTTTTTAATTATTCCAAGAATTCTCTTTTCTTGATATCAATGGAAATTTAAAGATTACTGAATGCGTTTCGATTGTTTTCATTCGAAAAAAAATATTGAAAATGAAAGAAAACTATTATTTGAAAGCCTATCTATTTATCATGCAAACCTTTTCTGAAATCAGTTCCTTGTTATTTCGCTACATTCAATCTCATTCTCCTTTAAAATGAGTATTACATTAGATCTGCTTAACTTCGTTTGAAGTAATTAACAGTAATCCGTTTATGAAGATAACCATTTAATTGATAGTTATTTGCAATTCTAATTAAACGAAAGTAAAGAACATAACTTGTTTTGCTTGACAGAAATAGCAATCTGCCTCATTCTTCACAAAGTTGCTCAAATATTCTCACCAGTGGGCCTGAGGTTTGATGAAAGAGCAGATAAACGATAATTAACCGAGAGAAGTAATCAACGATGACAAGCGGGTGTGGTGTTGATGGGCTTCTGCAGAAGGCGGAAAAGACCAATAGAGTGGCATTATCAATTGGCGCTTTTCTGGAAAAGTTGCAACTTAGGAGGCATCATAATATGTTGTCTAATACTCTTCAAACAACCACAGCTTAAATAGCAAAACCTGTCGAATTTATGCGATCGTGTCCACTATCAACATCTTTTGGCTTTCTTTTCCTACCAGAATAATCTAAAATTGATATTGGTTGTCAGTTGTACTTACATTAAAAAGGCATGCTGAAATGATTATGCGAATAAATGAAAAGTAAATACAATTCGAAGAAGAATGAGTGGATGAAATATTTTTAAGGTTATGTTTTTCGAAAACTTTACGGACAAAATGTATATTAAGTTTATGATTAATTGATTGGCTTTAGCGTTTGTAGAGATATTCTTTCGAAACTTGTTCTGGAAAATATAAAACAAATTCACATTTTTGAAGTTGGATTTTTTAGATTTTTTATGATAAATTTGTTTAGAAAAACGCTTTAAAATAAAAGCAACTAAATTAAATTTGAATTGAAAATATTTTCAACGTGCTTTCTTCAATTCTTACAATAATCATATATTGGTAAAGTTTTCAATCAATGACAATATCGACAGAAAGTATTTTAAATCTGCTTGATTTAAACGGAAGAAAGTAGTTGCATTCTCAATATTATAATGAAAATTAAAGGAAGTAATATGAGAATGATTTACTGGTATTAAATTAGCTGGAGACAATTTTGATTAAAGCAGCTTTTAATAGAATAGAAAAGATATTTGAAATCGCTATAGGCCTGCCTTCTTACAGACTAAAAATTCAATTGATAGTATTCTACCAGATAGAGTTTAAGGGAGTTAAAAGGTAAATTTCACTTTCTAAAGGTAATAATAAAATCCGGGTTTTGCTCAACTAATTTAATATATTAATTAACAACGAATTAATATTGGTAACAATTAGCCTCTTCCCTCTATTAAAACGAAAATTGATTTTTAAAATTACCAATTTTTTATTCAAAAATGCAAAATTAAAACGCTTGTATAGATTTACAAACGCAGAAATTGATCATTTAACGATTATCATGTAAAACCTATTCAACGCATGCCTTACTATTTTCAATTTATTTGCCTTTAAGCCAGTCTAACTTTAATCAGACTACATTAAACCTTGTATGCAAGTGGATTAGTCTGAGAGTAAGCGCTAGGGGGGGGGGCCAAAAATAGCACGGATGAGTGATCGAGTTAATAATGTGTTTCCACTCAGTTATCCTGGTTCTTAAAGTTGAAAGATAAGCTAACTTTCCTCTTTTTAAATCCGCCACCCCTCCCCTCCCCTCCCCCCACCTCCCTCTCCCTTCTTATTTCTTTCATTCACTCTATCAATTCAAGAACAGGCCAAATTTGGTCTGTGACCGAGTTGCGGACGTTCAGTCTTCCTTTATTTTCCCATTGCCTTAATTATTCGCGTGCACTTTCAAGCTCTTTACTTAAGGAAATATCTTAAATTATATTAAATGTCAGAATTTTAAGTAGATGTAGTTGAAGCTAAGTTGTAAAGGCAGCGGGCATAGAGTGAAAAAGGGAACTAAGTTGGAGCAGAGTTTTCCCGTCTAGATTATTTCGGACTCGTTTAGTAATATTACTTTGGAGAATTGGGGCAAGCGCTACCCACGATCTAATTAAGGGAAAGTTGGCATATACGATTGGTTTCCTGAATTTAAAGAAACTCTCTAAGAGGCCTGCAAGACGCTATGTTTATTTATACATTTTTCGTAAACTGTCAAGGTTCATAAGTGGCTTATTAAAAACAATATATAATATTGAAAATTTTACATCCGCTTCACCGATAACTTGTATGGATATATATGATAATATGAAGTTCAACGTATTCATTTCTTTTATTTTATTCTATTAGCTGGTTACTTCTTAGAATAAATTTAATACAAAAAAATTACTTTTTTATTCAAAGGCTAACTTCTTTCACCTAAATTTCACGCAATAACTTAATGGATATGTTTTGTTTTAAAAAAAAAGAATAGATGGAAAAGAGTGTGATAATGGCAAAAAGAAATGTTTCCTCCAACTCCACATGATTAATTCATTTTTCATCCCAGAGAATATCAGAGGATGCAAAGAGGGTGGTAGTGAATTGTTAGTTCTAAGCGAAAAGCATCGGCCCTCATGAGACGCAGCTCGACTCAAGAAAGGGTAGGGGGAAAGTACTCCTGTATACTATGCCTTCAGGGATTTTGGTAAATTTGCTTCACTGCGGATTGTAAGGATTGACGGCCATGAACACCATATCTTGCCGTCTCTACTCTGCTATTTAAATAACTAATATCTGGTCTTTCTTTGTCATGCTTGCCTGTTTCTTGATTTTGTTCTAATTGAAGTAAATTTGACTTAATCTCGTTTTTTAAGGCAAAATTTTTTAAAAAAAGCAATGGGCTCTTTGAAGATTTGAGACGAATTTTGCGTCGTTTTGTTTGGTACAGGATGATGGTACATTGGAGTACTTATTCATTCCACAAATACTTTGTTTTCTTCTTTTAAAAAAGAGAAGAAAAATGTGGCACATCGTTTTATCTGTTTTAATAATTAATGTTTTGGGATATTATCATTAATTTCGTGATTGCTGCGAAAGTTTTTTCAATCATTGTAGTTTCAAAAGATTCAATTTTTAATTCAGTTATACTCATTATTATTAGTACTTGATATTTCCATTCGTTCTATTAAATGAAGTTGCTCATAATGACCATTTAAATAAAAAAAATTATTTAGCAATTTTGGCCATTTATTTCTCTTAATAGAGCTGTATAAGAACCAATCTCTGTGTTGATTGGATTAAACCAACTTATTATCAACTATCAAATAGTTGTATTGAATTAATTGTAAATATGCTAGCGAAATCTAACTTCCCTTTTCACTGTTCACGAGTTCTTATCAATCTCATATACATTCAGTTGCACTCATTTTCTCCTGATTGAATCCTTGTCGTCTATATGGCTTTGAGCTCTATTTTAATCGATGCTGTGTATCATTCAAAAGTTCACTTTTGAATTCATTGCTGGATTATCGTATTCGTTAGGGAATTAAGTCCCTGCATCGATCAATCAATGTCTGGAATCTCTTTGCTGTAAATCGCCTAAGAGTTGTTTTGAACCTGTTAATCCAGAAAATCCAACATGCCTATGATATAGACATAGCAATCATGGAAGCCAACTTCACGGGTGACAGACTCAAATACAATCAATTTCCAGGTTACACCTTATACCTAAATACTGGCAGGTTGAAAGTGGAATTCTGACTGGAGTAAAAGAAGGACTCACATCACATTACAATCTAATCAAGAGTATGGGCTTGACGCAAGACATATGCAAAATAATAAGATTGAATGTTTGGAAATGTCAAACCACTTCAAGATATACGCAGTCTATAATACACCCCAGAATAGTTCCAACTTTGATCTTCTGAACATCTCACACAAAACTGTTGTATAAGGAGACTTCAACGCCCATTCCACCAGGTGGGGCTACAAGAATACAAACATAGCTGGAAAGGAAATCGAAGATATGCTACATATCTACACTACAATGAAACTAGAACAATCACTAACTTGCTCCTGGCTTCAAGCGACATCAGTAAGCATACACACCGCATTTCCTCTTGGCTTCAAGCGACATCAGCGAGCATACACGCCGCACGTTTCCTCTTGGCTTCAAGCGACATCAGTGAGCATACTCGCGACTTGCTCCTGGCTTCAAGCGACATCAGTGAGCATACACGCCGTATTTCCTCCTGGCTTCAAGCGACATCAGTAAGCATACACACCGCCAAATAATTGACGATCCTGGTTCTGGTCACAAACCAGTCATCGCAACAAAAGCATGATGCCGAAAGTGCCAACAAAACTATTGTGGAACTTCAAGAAGGCTGACTGGCCTAGATTCACAAACCTTTTAGAGAATGAACTTGACGCAAGTCCCCTCAACTTCCTGGCATGGAACTTCAAGAAGGCTGACTGGCCTAGATTCACAAACCTTTTAGAGAATGAACTTGACGCAAGTCCCCTCAACTTCAACCAATATCCTGACAAACTTTGCAACGAAATCACAAACTTCAGCCAACATCCTGACCAACTTTGCACTGCTATCACGAGTTATGATCAGATGTGCAAAGAAAACTATGTATCACGAATATTATGATCAGATGTGCTAAGAAAACTATTCCCATATGATCAGATGTGCAAAGAAAACTATTCCCCGAGGCAAATATAAACACTATCGAGTGTTTTGGTCTAGGCACCTTGAGGAAGCCTATCGAGTGTTTTGATCTAAACACCTTGAGGAACTGAAATGAGTGTTTTGGTCTAAACACCTTGAGGAACTGGAAAGATAGTGTTTTGGTCTAAACACCTTGAGGAACTAAAAAGAAAGCGTGTTTTGGTTTGAACACCTTGAGGAACTGAAAAGAAAGCAGAAAGCATTTCCCAAACACTGCTGAACAGACTGGAAGAACGGTGGACGTACAAGCCTGGAGACACCAGTCAGCTGTCCTAAGGCAATCCATCTTACAAGCCAAATGATCTACCTTGGGTAACTTCATCTCAAATATCAAATATCAAAATGTTAGCTAACGCACATTCAAATTCCTAGGTAACCTCCAAAACAACAAGGAAAGACCCTAGAAAGAACCAATATGCTTAAAAAACAAACTTTTTACCACTGACTCCTAAATAGTTAACTACTTGGAGAGGTTCTATTCCAATAAGCAAAAGAAAACCCTTTTGACAGATAATCTTCAAGTGATATAAAGATAAAAGTAAAACAGTTTGGTGGAATTAAGGAAGACATAACAATACCAAATAATGTACTCATTGAACCATCCAGCTCTCACGATCCTAATGCTGCGATAAAACAGCTCAAGTGCATAAAGTTTTCTGGTGAAGACAGTAACAATACGGATTTCTAATTAGAATAGGGCCAAGAGCCAAGGAATCCATGCTGACACTATTCAACAAAAGCTGGGAGACTAGTCTCGTACCAACCCAACGGAGAGTTGCCATAGTAATACCAAAACTAAAAAAGGTCAAAGACCCCAAGCAACTTTAACAACTATAGGCCTATCTCTCTCATAAGCATGTTGACTAAACTTATGGAAAGAATGATTAACAGGAGGCTGATCTGGTTCCTTGAGACCAACAATATTTTTAGTAATGAACAAGCAGGTTTTAGGCCAAAAAGATCAATAAACCAACAAGTAGTCACTCTCTCCCAACATGTCCTGATGCAAGAAATACTCTTACGGCTGTTTTCGTCGATTTCCTCTTCCAACACATCAAAGATGCCATTGATGCAAGAAATATGCTGTTTTCGTCGATTTCAAATCAGCATATGACTTAGTATCCTGTTTCGCCCTTGATGCAAGAAATACTCTTACGGCTGTTTTCGTCGGTTTCAAATCAGCATATGACTTAGTATGGAAAGAGAAGCTAATTCGAAAATTGGTGCAAGAAATACCCTTGCGGCTGTTTTCGTCGATTTCAAACGCATATGACATAGTATGGAAAGAGAAGCTAATTCTAAAATTGGCATATGACTTAGTATGGAAAGAGAAGCTAATTCTAAAATTCTCGAAGATTGGTATTAAGCATAACTTGCTAAGCTGGATAAAAGAACTCATTGGACAAAGATCATGCAAAGTCAGATATGAAAATGCTCTATCCAAGTTTAATCTTTTACAAACAGGTCTTCCACAGGGAGATGTCACAAGCTGCACTCTTTTCAATGTCTTCATCAATGACATAGCGAAACTGGTACAGACAGTCACGGGCATCAAGTGCTTACTTTATGCAGATGTTCTTGTTCTGTGGTATTCCGCCCCTAAGAAAAACGCTCAGAAGAGGACGGAAAGCGCCATAAATTATGCACTTAAACTACTAGCAAACTGGTTCGACAACAATGGAATGGTTATCAACACCGCTAACATCGCATTCCAAACATTTTCATTGGTCCACCACAACACAAGTCTGCATTTAATGCACAAGGATACTTCTCAAGAATAAACCAACGAGTTCACTTATCTCGGAGTTACGTTTGACACAAAGCTAACATCTAAAAGTCACATTGCTAAAGTAGCAGAACGAGCCTCCAACAGACTGAACGTACTGAAGCTCCTTACTGATAGTGTTTGGGGCTGTGCACACTCAACCCTAAATAACACTTACAGACAATAATGCTGTATTGCTGCGAGAAACTCAATACGGCCTCTGAAGTGATTCACAAATCACTCGAGAAGGTACACAACCAAGCATTCCGACTAATTACTGGAGGGATAAAATCAACACCCATTGATTCAATGCTCCTGGTTACATCAAA